TTGTACAGATTGGTTTCTCTGTTTCTCCCAGCAGAGTTCATGAATTCATTGTATTGTATTGTATTTTTATTATTTTTATTTCTTTTTCTATAGAAGGGTCTCACTCTGTTGTTCAGGCTGGAGTGTATGATGATAGCTCAATACAACCTCCAACTTCTGGGCTCCAGCAATCCTTCTGCCTCAGCCTATTGAGTAGCTGGGACTTTAGGTGTGTGATGCCTGGCTAAATGTTTTTTTGGACATGGGGTCTCCAGGCTGGTCTCAAACTCCTCACCTCAGGTGATTCTCTCATCTCAGCCTCCCAAATCACTGCCATTACAGGCATAAGCCACTGTGCCCGTCTATTATTTTTATTTTTTTGTAAAGATAGTGTCTTGCTATGTTGCCCAGGCTGGTCTTGAACTCCTGGCCTCAGGCACTCTTCCCACCTCAGCCTCCCAAGTGGCTGTGATTACAGGTGTGAGCTACTATGCCTGGCTAAGCTCATGAATTTAAATATGGTGGAGACTTCCATGGCCTACCCAATACCCTTGGTCTCGTTCTTCTCTCCAGTATTAACTGGGCACAGATCACTTGGAATAAATACTACATTTCCCATGTTGCTACATGGCTGTTTTCTAAGCAATGAGATGGCTCTTTAAAAGAAAGAGCATAGGCCTTTCTCTTCCTTTATCCTTCTGTTTTATTTATTCTTCTTGTCTTCCTCTATCCTTCTGCATGAAGAGTAGATATAATTATTGGAGCTATGGTTGTCACATTTTGAACATGAGAATGAAGAGAGAAATGGGATGGTGGATCCATGTACTGAAAGGATCTCTGAAGAAGTGGAGCTACCATTCCAGCTACTGAGGACTGTATTAGTCTGTTCTCATGCTTCTAATAGAGACTGGGTAATTTATAAAGGAAAGGAGTTTAATTGACTCACAGTTCAGCATGACTGGGGAGGCCTCAGGAAGCTTACAATCATGGTGGAAGGGGAAGCAAACATGCCCTTCTTCACATTGCAGCAGCAAAAAAAGAAGAATGAGCAAAAGGGAGAAAGCATTATAAAACCATCACATCTTGTGAGAATTCACTCTCACTCACTATTAGAACAGCAGCATTGGGGTAACCACCCACATGATTCAATTACCTCCTACCAGGTCCCTCCCGTGACACTTAGGGATTATGGGAACTACAATTCAAGATGAAATTTGGGTGGGGACACAGCCAAGCCATATCAAGTACTTACATCTGGACTTTGTGAATAACTTTCTATTTTAAGCCATTTTTATTTTAAATTTCTTTTGGTGTGCAGCTAAGCTTAATTTTTTTTTTTTTTTTTTTTTTTTTTTTTTTTTTTTTTTTTAGAGACGGAATTTCACTCTTGTTGCCCAGGCTGGATCTCGGCTCACTGCAACCTCTGCCTTCCAGGTTCAAGTGATTCTCCTGACTCAGCCTCCCAAGTAGCTGGGATTACAGGCATGCGCCACCATGCCTGGCTAATTTTGTAGTTTTTGTAGAGATGGGGTTTCTCCATGTTGGTCAGGCTGGTCTTGAACTCCTGACTTCAGGTGATCCACCTGCCTCTGCCTCCCAAAGTGCTGGGATTACAGGCATGAGCCACTGCACCCAGCCAACTAAGTTTAATCTTAACAGATACACATGCCCTCCCATTTCATGTATTTCATGCATGGTAGGGAATAACTAGTTTCTCCTGGTTTCAATTCCAAGCTCCTAGGGAGACTGGAAATACTTAGCTTCTGTATGTACTGATATTCTGATCAATAATGGCTAGGGGAGCATAGCTCCATAACACAAATGGGATACAGAGGGTGTATGCATGTAAGTTATGGGGGGTTGTTTTCACAGAAACAGGCATGTGTGTTGGGCAGGTACTAAAAACTTGTCACATTCTTCTCTTCAGTTACAAGCTAATTCTCTTTTCAGCTTTATCCTGAAATATCTTCCCCTTTATAATATACAGACTAAATTTCTACATCTTTACAGAAATCTGCAGATGCCACACCTGTAATACCAGCACTTTGGGAGGCCGAGGCATGTGGATCACGAGGTCAAGGGATCGAGACCATCCTGGCCAACATGGTGAAACCCTGTCTCTACTAAAATACAAAAATTAGCTGGGCATGGGGACGCGCCCCTGTAGTCCTAGCTACTCAGGAGGCTGAGACAAGAGAATTGCTTGAACCCAGAAGGTGGAGGTGGCAGTGAGCCAAGATCATGCCACTGCACTCCAGCCTGGCTCCTGGCAACAGAGCAAGACTCAGTTTCAAAAAAAAAAAAAGAAAGAAAAAGAAATCTGCATGTACTTCCTTTTAACCACAAATGTAAGGAGTACCAAACCCTAGTGGAAATATATTGTGCCCACTAGCAAAAGCACGCAACTTACTCAGTTTTGGTCAAATGGCAAAGACTCTGGAAATAAGACGCTTGATTCTCATAGTCAGGAGAAGTCCACCTGATCCAGTTCCCTACATATAAAATGATTACCTAAACAGTTCTTCAATTCAGCATCTTATGAAGACAGCAAAAGGATTTGAAATGCACAACCCACATTCTAAGTAACTACCACCTCCCACTCATTCAAGCCACCGATAAATATATAACTTACTTATTATAATATTATATAGCTGTAGAATGAACTAATTTATATGACTTAGTGAGAGGGCAAATTTTAGTTGTTAATTTTTATAAAATAAGAAATACATATTTTTAGAATATTATGTAATTGTAGTAGAAATCTAAACCATGCGGAAGTATATAAACCATACAATGGAAGTGTCTCCTTTCTCTCAACCCAGCTGTAGTATTCAAGTTATTCTCAGTATTTTGTGTGTTGTGTCGATAGGTGGGTGTTTTTAGTTTTTGTTTTGAAATGGAGTCTCGCTCTGTCACCCAGGCTGGAGTACTGGCACAATCTCAGTTCACTGCAACCACTACCCTGCAGGTTCAAGCGATTCTTCTGCCTCAGTCTCCTGAGTAGCTTGAATTACAGGTGCCCACCACCATACCCAGCTAATTTTTTTTTTTTTTTGTATTTTTAGTAGAGGCAGGGTTTTGCTATATTGGCCAGGCTGGTCTCGAACTCCTGGGCTCCAGTGATCCACCCACCTCGCCCTCCCAAAGTGTTGGGATTGCAGGGACGAGTCACCATGCCTGGCCCATACGTGGGTTATCTTTAATCCTTTGGTACAAAGAACCATTTCACTGGGGTCCGATAACTGGACCCCCAGTCTGGAGCTAATGTTTTGGTGTCCACTACCGGGCATGCCCCTTGTACCAGGCTGTGTGCCCTCCTGCTGCTGCAGGGTGGAGCGGTGCTCCTTAAACCCACCACACCTGAGCTTTTGGCCCACACTGACTGCACCGCTGCATGCATTATCTCACCATTCCTAACAGCCCTCACTGAATCTGTGCTCTGGGCTGAGCTGGGGATTCTCCAGAAGCAGAAGGAAGGTGCTGTAGAGATTAGAGCTGCTTAAAGTTCCCATCTTTTCTCCTAGACATATTGGTTTGTATTTCCACCCACTTGAACTCAAACGTAATGGAATGACTTTTTTTGACCACTGAAATGTGAACAGAAATGATATGGGTCGCCTCTGGGCAGAAACATGGATCCAGTAAGTGGCTCACCACGTTTTTGTACCCTGCTTCTGTAAGTAACTGTGGAAGCCTGGATCAAGATAGTGCCTCTGCCAGTCTAGGTCTTTCAGTAACTACCATGAGCACGGACCTCGTTTTGATCAGGGTGGACAGTTAGCATAAGCAAGAACTTTGTCCTTTTTTAAAAAAATTTTTTAAAGACAGGGTTTCACCATATTGGTCAAGCTGGTCTCAAACTTCTGACCTCAGGTGATCCGCCCACCTCAGCCTCCCAAAGTGCTGGGATTACAGGCATGAGCCACCGCGCCCAGCAGCAAGAACTTTGTTGTTGTTTTTTGAAATGGAGTTTCCCTCTGTTTCCCAGGCTGCAATGCAGAGATGCGATCTCAGCTCACGGCAACCTCCGCCTCCCAGGTTCAAGCTATTTCTCCTGCCTCAGCCTTCTGAGTAGCTGGGATTACAGGTGTGTGCCACTGCACTTGGCTACTTTTTGTATTTTTAGTAGGGATGGGGGTTTCGCTATATTGGCCAGACTGGTCTCGAACTCTTGACCTCAGGGGTGATCCTCCCACATCAGCCTCCCAAAGTGCTGGGATTATAGGCATGAGCCACCACACCCAGCCAGAACTTTTGTATTTTAAAGTCTATCCCAAATGATAGTCTTTTCTCAAGATGCTCACAAACTAGTCAAGAGACAATGTAGAACCATGGTCTAGAGACCGTGTGAAGTACTGTATATGGCCAAGTAAGTGTTCAAGGGCTAAAATAAAATATGATACTCTCCCCATCCAATCTCTCTCCTGTTGCTGTCTTTCAGTCTGGTGGCATTAGGCAAACTTCTCACATGTCTCAGGGGGCTATCTCCAAATGGATTAGACTGCAATGCTGGAATAATATGACATAAAAATTTTATTTTGTGTATGTGATCACACAGCTTGAAACTAAACTCTAACATTTGCAGCAGAGAAAATACTTTTCTTTGCATCTCATACATGTTCATTTTCTTGTTGAACAATTTCAAAATAAGAAACTTCCATAGCTGGTAATAATATTAACAGAACAGGAAAATATAGTTTAATTGGATATTCTTGTTTTTACTTTTTAGTAGCCATACTGGTAAAGGAGTATATTAAAGGAGCTTATTGTAAACCCATATTTTTTTAAGTTTTTGTTTGCATATCTTCATGCATAAATGTATCTCATATTTTTTTCTGCTTTCCTTCCTTCACCCCATTATAATATAAAATTATGTTCTCATTTCTCATTATAGTCATCATAATAATGTCTTATCCTATTGAACTCTGAACTATTTTCTATGATTCCTTTTTTATTAGCGTTAAAGTTTAACCAGAAATTGGAATAAAAGGCAACAGAGTACCAAGCAAGCATGGGCCACTTTGACAACGTTTCTAACTGAACCAGGGTTGACCATGACCTGCTGTGAAGGATGGACATCCTGCAATGGATTCTCCCTGCTAGTTCTTCTGCTCTTAGGAGTAGTTCTCAATGCGATACCTCTAATTGTCAACTTAATTGAGAAAGACCAGTTTTCTCAAAACCCCATCTCTTGCTTTGAGTGGTGGTTCCCAGGAATTATAGGAGCAGGTCTGATGGTGAGTAATATTTATTTGACTTGATGTGAAGAAGGGCCTGCCTATTTCACCAAAATCCTAAAGGCTATCTTTGAGTCTTGCAGTTAGCTATATCGTGGCTCATGTTACAATTTGGAGCAGTGGTATGGCATTAATTTATATTGGTCATCAGTGAAGAATGGTAACTTAAATAAAGTACAGTACGTGGTATAGGATAGAGAGCTGAGCAAAAAATAAATAAATAAATAGACGTTGGCTGGGTTATTATCACTCACATTTCTGCCCATGCAGGCCTACTCTTCCAAGCTTTATGAGTTAGGGACCTTCTGAATTAATTCCTTCAACTTTCCTTTGCTCCATACCAGCCTCTAAGTATTTACAGACAATGCAATAAGAGTGAGAGGTTGCTTAATATGAATGAGTAGAAACATTCCTATCATGATAACCAGCCTGGGTGATGAGAATCATGAGGTGTGAATGTTGCATTGCCTGTATCTCAAGGGAGTTGGGCTAAGAGACGTGGACTTAAAATTTTGGGTCTCTGGCCTCAGGGACTTTTTGATTCAGCTATTTTATAGATCCCAGGACATCGAGCTTGTTGAATAGTCTGATGGTTGTTACCAGGTCTATCTTTGTTGAATCTGCAGCAGAGCAGTGCAGTATGGAATTCCTGAATATAACTGATCATGAATCACCTGGGAAACTTGCAATAGTCAGCTGCGTAGATGTTCTCCTGAGAATTCTGATGCAGTAGGCCTGGGTAGTACCCATTTGTATAGGGAAAACTGCTTTCAAATCTGGCAGAATACCTCAGCTATGGTTCTGCCTCCAATATATCACTGCAAGCAAATCATTTATCCTATGGTTTTGTTTCCATGTTTGTAAAATGGGGATGTGGATGAAGTTGATAATTCAGTATCCAAGAGGCTTGTTTTTGTTTGTTTTGCCACTAAGGGGTTTACTTAGTGCCAGAAATGTTTGTGTGTATATGTGTGTGTGTGTAAGACGGAGAGAGAGCAAGTTGTAAGGACTGATTTTATGAGTGTTTTAGAGATAATAAAACACAGAGGTGACTTTTGTTGTTAAACTTTTTTCTAACTTTTAAGTTCAGGGGGTACATGTGCCAATTTGTTACACAGGTAAACATGTGTCATGGGGGTTTATTGTACAGATTATTTCATCACCCAGGTATTAAGCCTAGCACCCATTAGTTATTTTGCCTGATCCTCTCCCTCTTCCCCCCCCCACCCTCTAATAGGCCCCAGTGTGTGTTGTTCCCTTTTATATCTTCATGTGTTCTCATCATTTACCTCCCACTTATAAGTGAGAACATGCAGTTTTTGGTTTTCTGTTCATGCATTAGTTTGTTAAGGATAATGGCCTCCAGCTCCATCCGTGTCCCTGCAAAGGACATGATCTCATTCCTTTTTTAAAGCTGTGGAGGTGATTTTAAAAGAAATTCAGGACACAGTTTTCTACCTGAATCACTGATTGTTAATTATGATCAGTTACTGCTGCTGGTCTTATCCTCAGATTTACAAAAACACACTTCCTTTACAGTCACAAGGGATCTATTCCTCTGCTTTAGGTAGAAAGGTCTAACTACAGAAAAAGCTTTTGGAAAGTTTTGGACTATTTCCTCACACTGCCACGAATGCTCTCTTTCAGGCTGAGAGACAGAAAACACATTGCAACTCAACAGCATGAAGCAACCATACATCCATGTGTCTGTTTTCTCCCCAGTAGAAGGCTTCTCTCTACTTGAGTAGTAGAAGCCTCTTTTGCATTTGCTTATATACCAGAAGCCAGGAGCAGCTGGCTGAGCATAACTTAACGACAGCAATTTCCATGAAGCTCCTAAGAGTTCCTGAGTTAAGAGTATCCACTTAGAATAACTCATGCAGCTTTAGGAATAAATTGGCTCTGCCACAAATCCCATGAGATAAAAAAAAACAAAATTGTATTAGCATTAAAGGAGCCTGAAGTGGCGATGACACATACCTATATCCCAAGTATAATTTTAGGATGGTGGTGGGTGTTGTGGGGAGAGCAGAGACAGAGAAAGACAGAGGTGGACAGAAAAACATGTCTTCATTTCCTGGCCATCTGCCAAGGGCCATCTACTGGGTTCATGTATTACCTCGTTATCTCATTTAGTCTCTATAATAATCTGTGCATTTATTATTACTTATATTTTACAGACCAGCAAACAGAAAGTTAGGAATATTAACAAGGTTACATAATGGGTGTGAAACTCAATTCCAGATTTATCTGATGTCGAAACTCTGTTTTTCCACCAGTACTAGTAAGTGTCAACACTTGTCTCAGGGCTGCCAGAGGTGAAAGACATAATCCATAAATTAACGCATAAAGTCAAGTGACCAGGAAACTGAATCACAGAAAGATTACAGAAACTTACGGAACAGTTTCAGAGAATCTGAACTTCCTTGTTCTACAGCTAAATTTACTTTATCATCCTTAGTATTATCAAAAGGTATCAACACGAGACTATCTCTATTATTCAGCTTTATAGAATGTCATTAAAGCATCAAAGAACTCTCTGAAAAGTCCAATGTGAACTTTGTAGACAGAAGCTATGCCCATAAGCAAACAGGTAGGTGATAAAAAGGGCTCAGACTACAGGTATATTTTCATGATCCTTGGATATATAAAGAAAGTGGAAGAAAGTCTTTTTCTAAGGGATTTATTAACATGTCTTTTATGACACCCATGAAAATACTCACTAGTTCAAAATATCGAACTTTCAATATGCTTGTAACTACATAAAAAAGTTAATAGAGAAGAAATCATTGCCTGTGATAAGCACTGTGGTCTGGTTCTTGAAATCTTTCCAAAATTACTGTGGTGTTTCCAATTGGTATTGTTATCAAAAGTGAGATTTTACAAGAAGTGGGTAACCATATGAACAATGGAATTCATTATTGATTACTTCACTAAATATATTCATTTTGTGGCTTCATGACTTACCTAAAACAGGCAAACTTTTCATCTTCCAAAACCATGACTAAGTAAAAATATGACATACTTATCTTTAACTTTAAATGGAAAAATTGATACAAATGTTATTTTTTCAAGTATTTTTAAAAAAAAATCTCAAAATGTTTCCTTGAAAAAATACAAACAGAAAGGCCATTTTATTTTCTATGAGGCTAATTGTAAGCCTGATCTTAACCATGCTTTTTAAGTTCACTTATTAGCTAATAGTAACTCATCAAAGTCAGTTATTAAAATCTTAATAGAGAACAAATTGTTGAAAGTTAAACAGATGAGAAAATACTATGCAAGACAAACATTTGTAAAATATAGTTTTGTGGGTTTTTTGTTTTTAGTTTTTTTTGGTTTTTTGGTCATTATCGTTTTTGAGACAGGGTGGTGCTCTGTCACCCAGGCTAGAGTGCAGTGCTGTGAGCACGCCTCACTGCAACCTCAACCTCCTGGGAGCAAGTGATCCTTCCACTTCAGCCTCCTAAGTAGCTGGGACTATAGGCATGCACCACCATGCCTAGCTTATCTTAATTTTTTTTTGGCCAGGTGTGGTGGCTCATGCCTGTAATCCTAGCACCTTGAAAGGCTGAGGTGGGAAGATCACCTGAGGTCATGAGTTCAAGACCAGACTGGCCAACATGGAGAAACACATTTCTACTAAAAAATACAAAAATTAGCTGAGTATGGTGGTGCATGCCTGTAATTCCAGCTACTCAGGAGGCTGAGACAGGAGAGTTGCTTGAACCTGGAGGTGGAGATTGCAGAGAGCCAAGATCATGCCACTGCACTCCAGCCTGGGCAACAGTGCAAGACCCTGTCTCAAAAAAAAAAAAAAAAAGTGTTTTTTATTTTATTCATTTATTTTTGTAGATAGGATCTCACTATGTTGTTCAGTTGGGCTCAAACTCCTGGGCTCAAGCAATCCTCCTGTCTTGGCCTCCCAAATTGCCAGAGTTACAGGCATGAGCCACCATGCCTGGCTGCAAAGTATGTTTTGATATTTGTGATGAGCTAAGATTTTGTGTGTTACTCTCATGTTCAAGTTCTTAGAGGACTCCCAAAAGTCTGAACTTCATCACAGAATTTTTAATGGTCTAAATTTCTGTACTTTATTTGTAAAATCATGCAACTTCTTCTTCTTCTTCTTCTTTTTTTTTTTTTTTGAGACAGTCTCACTCTGTCGCCCAGGCTGGAGCACAGTGGTACAATCTCAACTCACTGCAACCTCCACCCCCCAGGTTTAAGCAATTCTCCTGCCTCAGTCTCCTGAGTAGTTGGGGTTACAGGCATGTGTCACCTTGCCTGGCCAATTTTTGCATTTTTTAAGTAGAAACAAGTTTCACCATGTTAGCCTGGTCTCGAACTGCTGATCTTGTGATCCACCTGCCTCAGCCTCCCAAAGTGCTGGGATTACAGGCATGAGCCCCATGCCCGGCTCCTCATGTAACTTCTAAGACTAAATAAAATTACCGGTTTCTGTAAGAAAAAATGAACAATATTACTTTTCTTTGTAAAAACAAAAGCCTAGGAGGAATTTTAATTTTACAAAAACTCAGGCATTCAAATATGCTTAGGAAATGAAGAGAAAGTGTGTTCTCATAATTACTCATTTTGGCAGGAGATTATCTGGAAAATTTATATATAATTCACACACACACACACACACACACACACACACACACATCATTCACATTTTTAGTGTCTGTCCTCTAAAGAGCCCCTCCAATTTCCAGAGCTCTGAATGGGAAAGCAGTTGAAACCACAGTGAGTTGTCAAATTACCAGTAACAGCATTACAAAGATGTGTTAACATGCTTGAAGTGAATGGGGTGGTGATTTATACACTATAAGTAATTGTCCCTTTATAAAACCACTTTGCAAGTGAATCATGAAAGTAAATATTTAGCATCTCTGAAATAAACTTATCTTAAAGAAAATTAGCAGAGTTAAGTTTGCATCAACAAGAAAAATAAAACAATTTATCCATTTAAGTTGTAATGTCAATCCACTTTTTTTTTTGAGACAGGGTCTTGCTTTGTCATTTAGGCTGGAGTACACTGTCACTTTCTTTTAAAAGAATCATTAATTTTCTAACTCTGTGGCTGGCAAACCTTTTCTGTAGATATTCAGTGAATATTTTAGGTTTACAAATCTGCCTCTTCCACAAAATTTAACTCTACTGCTGGTGCACAAAAGTAGCCATAGACAATATGTAAATAAATGGATGTGACGGTGTTCCAATAAAACTTTATTTACAAGAAAGAGGTGGTGGGCCATCGTTTGCCAGTTTCCATTCTAAATGATTTGTCCTGTAAGCTCAGAAGGCAGTATAGCTTATATGCACAGTAAAAGATGTTTAGTGCATGAATACTGACACCTATTTGGGAGCTAAAATTTCTTTTCCCTTTTCTTCCGGGCTTTCAGCTATGCACCAAGGTGGCTGGGCAGCCATATACATGTGGCCTCTAAATAAAAAGGTGGTGATATTCAAGGCAATGTGTAAGCAAAGCTTGCTAACAATACAAAGTGACACGGAGGCACGTGATGGAATGAAGTTGTTTAGGAAAGCTGCCTTGTAAAGAGGCGTGAACTTTAAACCCGTGCTGAAAGAATAAAGGCAGATGTGGCCTTGGATAAATGAATCAAAGAGGGAGCAATTGGAAGGACAGAAGATGGGCAAGGGGTGAAGGCAGCAGGGAAGATGAGAATGAACAAACTCTAGGTAGGAATGAGGGAGAATTGCAAGACTTGAGTCAGTGTGGAATAGGGATTAAGAGTTCCGGCTGAGCACAGAGGCTCACCTGTCATCTCCACACTTTAGAAGACCGAGGCGAGGGGATCACTTGAGCCCAGGAATTTGAGACTAGCCTGGGCAACATGGCAAAAACTCCATCTCTACAAAAAAAAAAAATCCCCCCAAATGAAATAAAAATAGTAGGGCGTGACGGCATGCACCTGTAGTCCCAGCTACTCAGGAGGCTGAGGTGGGAGGATCACTTGAGTGCTGATGTTGAGGCTGCAGTGAACCATGATCATGCCACTGCACTTCAGCCTGGGTGACAGAGTGAGACCCTGTCTGAAAAAAACAAACAAACAAACAAACAAACCACCAAACAAACAAACGAACAAAAAATGTCTGGGCTCTGCCCCCTAAATGACTAATTCTGAATCCCAACTCTTCGACTTTCTTAGACAAATTACTCAAACATTTTATGCCTCCGTTTCCTCACTGGTAAAATGGAAATAGTACTAGCACCTACCTCATAAAATTATTATGAGGATGGAATAAACTAAAGCATGAAAGCGCCTGTAACGGTGCCTGGCATGTAGTCAGAGCTCGGGAAAATGTTAGAGAGTGGGAGTAGGAGACAGAAAAACCACGCAAGGGCAGCTGTGCTGAGATGGTAAAAAAACCTATGGCTAAAATTTCTTAAGTGGAAGGAAATAATTTACATTCCACCCCTCAATGATACAAAACTCCTTCCAGTAAGAATTTCTACTCATAGCTGCTGCCTAGATATTACTAAAAATTGAAACCCAAGTCCTGAGAACATGGTGTTCTTTCTTACAGCTTTCCTTGGCAACATGTATATCCCTGAAGACATATTGCGATCTATAGATTTCTGAGCATCAGTGTAAAGTGAGATCATTACATATCATGGATAGAGGAAGAGAAAGGAGAACATGGAATCAAAAATAATTCTCAAATATAAGCTTGGGGGAACCAGCAAGACAGCGGGGATCCTGGGAAAAGAAAGGCGAGTGGGAGCGGGTGGTGACAGAATGACTCGTTTCCAACTGTCAGACAGACAAAACAATCAATTGCTTTTCTGGAGGCTTGCCAGACTAATTCATCCAATTTATGGGAAGTTAGACCAGGCGTGATGGCTCATACCTTCAGTCCCAGCACCTTAGGGGGACAAGGCAGGAGGTTTTCTTGAGGCAGGAGTTCAGGACCAATCTGGGCAACAGAGCGAGATCTTGTCTCTACAAAAATATTTTAAAAATTAGCCAGGTGTTGGCCGGGGCAGTGGTTCACGCCTGTAATCCCAGCACTTTGGGAGGCTGAGGCAGGTGGATCACCTGAGGTCGGGAGTTTGAGACCAGCCTGACCAACATGTTGAACCCGTCTCTACTAAAAATACAAAAAATTAGCTGGGTGTCTTAGTGGGCACCTATAATCAGCTACTTGGGAAGCTGAGGCAGGAGAATCACTTGAATCTGGGAGGTGGAGGTTGCTGTGAGCTGAGATCATGCCATTGTACTTCAGCCTAGGTAACAAGAGCAAAACTCCATCTCAAAAAAAAAAAAAAAAAAAAGCCAGATTTGGTAGCCAATACCTGTTGTTCTAGCTACTCAGGAGGCTGAGACAGGAGATTCTTTAAGCCCAGGAGTTTGCAGCTACATTGAGCTACACTTGTACCACTACACTCCAGCCTGGGTGACAGAGACCTCGACTCGTTAAACAAACAAAGAAGAAAAAAAAAAAAGAAAAGGAAAAGAGTTTAGCTGATGCAACCAATTCTTTCAGAAACATTTCTTCCAAGAAGAATATATAAATAAGTCATCCTAATCTATTTAAAATCCAATTCTCTGCAGATGACTCAGAGCGAACTAAGAATATAGAGAGAAGATTTCGAAACTTCTGTCTTGAATTCCCCCGTTCCCGCTACTGCTTTTAATCTCTATGGTTGAAACTGGGAGGACAAGGTTCACAAAACCACGGATATTGCCAAATTTCCTTTTTGTTCTTTCAGCCTTGATTTTCCACAACTGGTGGTAAATGGAAGCTGACGGTGACTTGTTTTTCTTCTGATGAGAAGTAATAATAATCATCTTTCCTGTTCATGTCATTTCCAGGTCATTCCAGCAACAATAATGTCCTTGGCAGCAAGAAAAAGAGCGTGCTGCAACAGCAGAACTGGCGTAAGTACAGAGTAGTCGCCGTGGAAGCAGAAGTGCATCAACAGTTACCACTAGCTAAGCGAAGCCACACTGAGTCATCTACAGAATCACAGCGGGTCTCCACTGACGGGGCCAGCGCCTTAGAAATATGCCATTTTTATTGATTAATTTAGAGACAGAGTCTTGCTCTGTTGCCCAGACTGGAATGTAGTGGTGTGATATCAGCTCACTGCAACCTCTGCCTCCCAGGTTCAAGCGATTCTCCTGCCTCAGCATCCTGAGTAGCTGGGATTACAGGCATGCACAACCACACCCAGATAATTTTTGTATTTTTAGTAGAAATGAGATTTTGCCACGTTGGTCATGCTGGTCTCAAACTCCTGACCTCAAGTGATCTGCCGACCTTGGCACCTCAAAGTGCTGGGATTATAGGTGTGAGCCACCATGCCTGGCCTGAAACAAGTTATTTAGGATGATTACATAGACATAGAAAAAGTGAGTCAGGCACAGTGGCTCATACCTGTAATCCTAGCACTTTGGCAGGTTGATGTGGGTGGATTACCTGAGGTCAGGAGTTCGAGACCAGCCTGGCTAACATGGTGAAACTCTGTCTCTACTAAAAATACAAACATTTGCTGGGTGTGGTGGCACGCACCTGTAATCCCAGCTACTCAGGAGGCTGAGGCAGGAGAATCGCTTGAACCTGGGAGGCAGAGGTTACAGTGAGCTGATATCACACCACTGCACTCCAGCCTGAGTGACAAAGTGAGACCCAATCTCAAGAAAAAAAAGAAAAGAAAGAAATAAAGAAGAAAGGAAAACAAAAAGTGAGAAGGTTTTTTTGTTGTTGTTCCATAAACGTTTAGCTTTAGAGTCAGCCTTCTGTCCCTTCCTCAGTCTTCAGTGCATTGTTCTTTCCTCAATCTAAAGGTTTTTCAAAGAAAGGAGAGTCATAAGTCACACCCACAGCTGTAATCAATTTCATAATACTCAGGTGCGATGTTTTTGTGGCATGTATAAAACACTCAGGGAAAACGTACTCAGTTCTCCCATGCAATGACAGACTGGTTTGCTAAGATTAGAAGGACAATTGCCCTTATCCAGTTAAATTAAAGGAGCTGCCAGGTTTCCTCCTCCCTGCCCCAAACATTTAATGCCTACCCACTATGTATAGAGTCATAACTAAGTTAAAAGTAAGTTAATATTTACTAACCTAAGTGTCAATCTGCTCAGAACACTTTCAGCTATGTTGTTTTCATTTAGTTCTCTCTAAACCCTTAAGTGGGAAAAAGTAAGATGTCTGTTTTATTGACGAAGAAAGATGCTCAGAGAAAGTTAATAATTTTTGTCAGTGTAGCATAGTGGGTAAGTGGACTTTTATCCAAACCCACTGGACCACCCTAAAATTTGCAATCTTTATTTATGCCATGAACATGACTATTAAGCAACGTAAGGTCTCTCGTAATTCCTTACAGAAGTGGGTAGATCGAAAGCAAGCAGTCACAGTAAATCTGCTTGGCTGAGCTTGAGGTTTCAAAGCAATGGTTCTCAGATGGTTGGGAGCATTGGCCAGGCGCGGTGGCTCAGTCCTATAATCCCAGCACATTGGGAGGTTGAGGTGGGAGGATCGCTTGAGGTCAGGAATTTGAGAGCAGCCTTGCCAACATGGTGAAAACCCGTCTCTACTAAAAATACAAAAATTAGCTGGACTTGGTGGCCCAGGCCTGTAACCCCAGCTACTTAGGAGGTTGATGCCAGAGAATCGCTTGAACACAGGAGGCAAAGGTTGCAGTGAGCCAAGATCGCACCACTGCCCTTCAGCCTGGGTGACTGATAAGTAAGACTCTGTAAAAAAAAAAAAAAAGGTGGATGGGAATGTTAGGATCATCTAGAGAGATTTAAAAAATGCCAGTGCCTGGGTGGCCCCAGAGGTTCTGCATCAGTATTTTCCGAAATCACTCAGGGTAATTTGGCCAGGGGTTAGAAATACTGCTTTAAAAAGAACAGATACTTCTATCCATGATGGAAATTCATATTTTTAAAAATTACCTTTTTTTTCCTGACATTTGACATTTATCTAGGTTTACGATAATTACGTTAATTAGTTTTAGTCAATCTTTGCTCTGGCTATATTTTAGGTATTCAATAAACACTAATTTTCAGTTTCCCTTCCCTGTCACTTTTCTTTATGAACAATAATAATTTGGAATTTGACTTTGTATCTCCTCTCTGTGGTGCTCACAACATTCTTGACATCCTATTTCTGAATTCCTAAAATCAAAAATATCAAAATACTTATATAGGCTTTTCCTCTAGGTTTATCCTCTAAGAACTGGTGTTTAAGTCATACCTGGTGTCTTTGAAGCCTAGATAGAACCAAAACAGGAGACCAGTGGCACAGGCTGCATCTTAGGAGGACGGGAAGGGGCTGACCAAGGCTTGTCCCCTATTTTAACTGTTCTATGCTTCTTCCCTTTTTCCAGTTTTTAATTTTGCTTCTGAATACACAACGGTTTTGCTGAATCGTTTCAGTGAATCCCCACTCTAGGGGAAATACAGATGCCTGGAATCACTTTCTAAAGCCAGGCCCTTTGTAGTGATGAGAACTCAAAAACAGTACAGCCGGGCGCAGCGGCTCACGCCTGTAATCCTAGCACTTTGGGAGGCCGAGGCAGGTGGATCACTTGAGGTCAGGAGTTTGAACCCAGTCTGGCCAACATGGTGAAACCCTCTCTGTACTAAAAATACAGAAAATATTAGCCAGGTTTGGTGGCAGGGCCTGTAATCCCAGCTGCTTGGGAGGCTGAGGCAGGAGAACTGCTTGAACCCAGGAGGCGGAGGTTGCAGCGAGCCCAGATTGCACCACTGCACTCCAGCCTGGGAAACAAAGCAAGGCTCTGCCAAAAAAAAAAAAAAAAGTGTGTGTGTGTGTGTGTGTGTGTGTGTGTGTGTGTGTATGAAAATAATAGATGGCCAAAAATAAACACTATGGCACTTCTTGGTGAGTAAATTTAATAACTGCACAAGTCACAGTAGCATGGAGGAATCCGGATTTGAATTAGACTCCAAATCCATTACTCTAAACTTTTGGCTGGAAGTATAGTGATTAAAGTGTTTCCCAGATGGCCTGGGAAACAGGCCATGACAGGTTTGTCCATCTCCATGACATACAGTTTTCTCATCCATAAAATGAAAATAATAATAATATCTATCTCTTAGGGTTATGGAAAGAATTAAATGAGATAATATATGTAAAGCACAATGTCCCTCAACATAACTCTATAGTAGCCACCTTATTCTGAATTCATAAAAGGCAGGTCTGAAGAACACAACACACAAATCCTCTAGGAGCTGCAACATTATTCCAGCAAAGGAAAAGAAAAAGCATTCCCTTGCTTCATTTCTGCTGATTTTGAAATAATCATCACTGACTAACAACTTCATTGAAACAATATAAAAGTTTCTTTTTCTTTTTTTTTCTTTTAGAGATGGGGTCTCGCTATGTTGACCAGGCTGGTCTCGAACTCCCAGGCTCAAGCAATCTGCTCTCCTTGGCCTCAAGGTGCTGGGATCACAGGCGTGAGCCACTGTGCCTGGCCTAAGAGCTTATTTTTGGAAAAACAAACACTAACCTTCATTCCATTTTCTATGCCAAATTCCGTGCCTTCTTCTGCCCTCATGACTGACTCATGAAATAAAGATGTGTACAGTCTTTCTAACATAGTGGCTCTCAGCTAGCGGGTTGTTTTAGTCACCCACCTCCACCCCAAGAGGATATTTGGCAATGTCTGGAGACATTTTTGGTTGTCAGAACCGGGCAGGAGGAGGCAGGCGATGGGGTGATATTGACATCTAGTGGGTAGAGACCAGGGATGCTGCTAAATATCCCACACTGCACATGAAAGGCCCCACAGCCAAGTGGGCAGATGTCATTAGTGCTGAGGTTGGGAAGTCCTGCTCTAACTCTATGCTGATGACTGATCACTGCAGAATGCGGGCCATTGGCCATTTAAAGCATCAGGGCCAAATTTAGAGTAAACACTTTGGAGCCAAGAGACCAGACATCAAGACGAGGGTAGTTAAGATCCAGTCAAGATTCTATGAAGTAGAAGTACACAAAACAGGGAGGAACTAGGTCTCAGTGGTCAAAAGAAACAAATGAGCCTCAAGAATATGAAAGCTGAGATTTTCCAGAGACAGTGGCAAGCCCAACTATCTTTTTTTTTCAGAGTCTTGCTCTGTTGCCCAGGCTGGAGTGCAACGGCGAGATCTCAGATCACTGCAACCTCTACCTCCCGGGTTCAAGTGATTCTCCTGCCTTAGCCTAGCTGGGGTTACAGGCACCTACCACCAAACCTGGCTAATTTTTTTGTATTTTTAGTAGGGGAGAGGGTGGTTCACCATGTTGGCCAGGCTGGTCTTGAACACTTGACCTCAAGTGATCCACATGCCTTGGCCTCCCAAAATGCTGAGATTATAGGTGTAAACCCCCCACCCCGGCCCCATTTCTTTCAGTGAGTATAATCAAATAGCAGAGACTTTGCCCTCTGTCTTTTTGTATCATTTACACTTAATTAAACTGTGATCTTAAGATCTAGGATTTTAGGGTGACTAGATTTTAAAAAAAGACTGCATATGCATCTGAAACTTGAAACAGATAAAAAATGTGTAATAACATGTGCAAATGGTTCTCCTTTATTTTTCAGATGTTTCTTTCATCACTTTTCAGTGTAATCACGATCATTGGTGCTGGGTATTGCGTTGCGATATCCACCCTGGCTCTCTTAGAAGGTCCTTTCATGTGTAATTCTCAAGTCAACAGTACTGCCAATTGTGAATTTTCACTGACAAACATCAGGTGGGTAACCTGATTTTCACTGGCTTACTGTCTTACACAGTTAAACTAGTTTGATTAGACTAATGCAGTACTGAAACAATGCCATGTTTTTATTTGATGCATCTGCTGGGACAAACAGATTCTTAGGAATTTAGTACATTCATGCCAGTTAGCACAACCCCACATAGAAATGGAGGAAGCACTAGATTTACAATGCTCTCAAAGGGCCTTTAGATATTGTCTTAAAGGACTAGTCCACCTCAAATGGCTTAAGCTTGTCTTTTAAAAAATCTACCGTTACCTATGTGTATGTACATTAAAAAATTCTGGAAATTTACACTAGAAACTTAACTTTTATTCTTGGAATAAAAGAATAAAATATTCTTTTATTTTATGAGAATGGAAATAGAGAATGCACTAGGAGAGTGAAGAGAATATTTACTTTCAACACTTCTGAACTAATTAAAATTGTAAACCATGAGTAAATGTTACATTTAAAATTTTAAAAATTCAATAAAAATGCAATAAATAAAATTCAGAGCCTTGCCTGTAGGCCCTAAATGGAACAGAACAGCCAGTAGATTCATCCAGACATACTATAAATATACTGCATGCAGGGAATGAATCCAAAATTTAAGTTGTGTAATAACAAATAATACTGGAGATTTACATGTACTTAATAAGTAGCTCATTTTTGTCTCTTAAGATCATTCTGTGACTGAATCTAGACACAATTTGTAAAAACTGGAAGGAAAAAAACAATCTAATCCATTAGTGATCTGTATAGACTGCTCAGTTTAGCAAATAACCAGAATTTACTTTTGTAGTTACGTAAAAAAAAAATGTCTTTCTACTTTTCCCTTACCTTGCTACGTTGAAAAAGAAACGTTCCTCAGAATTTATGTAGCATATTTGTTTTGAATCAAAACCCAAGGAAGGCCGGGCACAGTGGCTCATGCTTGTAATCCTAATACTTTGGGAGGCCAAGGCGGGTGGTTTGCTTGAGGTCAGGAGTTCGAGAGCAGCTGGCCAACATGGTGAAATGCCATCACTGCTAAAAATACAAAAATTAGCCATGGTGGTGGCACACGCCTCTAGTCCCAGCTACTCAGGAGGCTGAGGAAGGAGAATTGCTAGAACCTGGGAGATGGAGGTTGCAGTGAGCCAAGATCAAGCCACTGCACTCCAGCTTGGGTGACAGAGTGAAACTCTGTCTCAGAAACAAAGCCATGGAAAGTCTCCTTACTGATAGACTTAAAGTAAAAGGCTAAAGATTTCTACCACACATGCTATGCACATTAAATCCTCAGGGAATGAAAGCCCACAATGTACCAGGCACCAGGCTCTAAACTCTGCACATAACAGCACTCAGATATTCTCAGTCTAGCTGGGGAGATGGGCTAGGCTAGCCAAGTTACAAGAGAGGGATCCTTGGCTTGCTACACATTTCACAAGACAGACTCACATTCCATGTGTTGAAAATACTGTTGTTTTCCCAGGTTGAATGTCAGTTGCTGGTATCCAGCAATGCAAACGCCCTAAGAACATTCTACCTTACTCTACAATAAACAAACAAACAAACATACATCTTGAGATAGATGTGTTAGGGCTAAAAGTTTCTCATTTTCCATAGCCCTGTTAAGAACAGGCACGTCACTTTGACATATTTAAAATGTCTTTTGTGAATAAAAATTGTATATCTGGTTGAAGAGCAGACACAACACTGCAGTTCCACACTAAGAACTGAGCGCATTGAAAGGGTGGCAGGGAGGCTCCTTAGTTTTCGTATCTGGCAAGTAGAAGAGTATCTGAATAAATGAAATGTAAATAGGTTGAATCATGAAAAACTGTTGACATTCAACTCTCTCTGACATCTAAAAACAGCAATTTTATACAGTTCAACCTAAGAGAAGATGTGCTATAGAGATGCTTGTTAAATGATGGGCTTATATAAGAAAAAGTTTTATAACCAGTAGAGTATGGACATTCGCTCAGAAACCTCTGTTATCATTTCTGGACACACTATTTCAAAAGCACATTCTCTTTTACTAGTTCTTGTATGGGCATAATGCTACTTTCCTTTGATCGGTGATATTTCTAAATATCTGATTTTTATCTTTTGCTTTTCAGTTACATTCATCCAGAATCCTTCAACTTGCAGTGGTTCTTTAATGACACTTGTGTACCTCCTACTGACTTCAATAACCCCACCAGTAATGACATCACGGCCAGTGGCTGGAGAGCAGCTAGTTTGCACTTCAATTCTGAAGAAAACAAACACAGGCTTATCCACTTCTCAGTATTTGTAGGTCTATTGCTTGTTGGAATTCTGGAGTTCCTGTTTGGGCTCAGTCAGATAGTCATTGGTTTTCTTGGCTGTCTGTGTGGAGTTTCTAAGCGAAGAAGTCAAATTGTGTAGTTAAATGGGAATCAAATGTAAGTATCAGTAGTCTGAGTAATTTGAGAAGTACACTTGTTTTCAAAGTCATCTTTCAGGGGACTTAAAAACTCAACCTTTCACATAGAAAGCATGTTGTAAAGGTATAATGCTTTCAAACTGTTGATTGATTTGGGAAAGGTGGAGAGAATTTTCAATTAGTTTTGTATCGTGCTATTCAAAAATTTTACCTCTTCATTCTTTGTGTGTGGAGAAGGGAGGGAAGACGAGAAGGAATAGAAGTCATTCTCAAAATAAAGTATGAGACCTTTTTTTTTTGAGACAGTGTCTCTAAAAAGGCTGGAGTGCAGTGGTACCATCTCAGCTCACTGCAGCCTCAACTTCCTGGGCTCAGGTGATTCTCCCACCTCAGCCTCCCTAGTAATAGGGACTACAGGCACGTGCCATTATACCAAGCTAATTTTTGTATTTTTAGTAGAGATGGGTTTTTGCCATGTTGCCCAGGCTGGTCTCGAACACATGGACTCAAGTGATCTGCCTGCCTCAGCCTCCTAAAGTGCTGCAATTACAGGTGTGAGCCACAGTGCCCAAAGTACAAGACCTTTTTATTGTATTTCTTTAAAGAATAAACATATAACCTGAATGTTATCAAGCCTTTAGATCTAATTCTCAGCTTGCAGGAAACACTCAGATGAATCTAAAAAGTGGGTCGGTAGACAAAGAATGGCCCCATTTTCAACAAGAAAATATTATAAAAGAAAAATATTTTTGAGGAAACTGTTCCAGATTAAGAGAATAGAGACATGTTTCAGCTAAACACATGTAAACTTTGTCAGAGATAAAGGGAAGAATACGAAGAATTGGATTAGATGATATTAAAGAATTATTAATTTTGGTAGCTCTGATAATGGTTTTATATTATACAGGCTGAGTATCCCTCATCCAAAGTGACTGAGATCAGAAGTGTTTTAGCTTTCAAATATTTTTGGATTTTGGAATTATGCATATAATAATGAAATATCTTGGGGATGGGATACAAGTCTAACCATAAAATTCATTTATGTCTCATACATACTTTACACACCTGGCCTGATGGTAATTGCACACAATATTTTAAATAATTTTGTGCATGAAACAAAGTTTTGACTGCAACTCATCACATGAAGTCAGGTGTGTGATTTTCTGCTTGTGATGTTATGTTAGTAGCTCAAAAAGTTTTGGATCTTGGAGCATTTTGGATTTTGAATTTTGGGGTTAGTGATGCTCAACCTGTATACAAAAATGTCTTTTTTTTCTTTTTAAGAAATGCATATTTATACATTTGGTGAGAAAATAAATTTAAAAATACTTCAACCAAAACTGTGAAGCAATGGAAAAATGTTTACTGTTATATTTAAGTGATAGGTACATGGCAATTCATTATACTCTTCTATTTTCCGATGTTTACATTGATCATTAATTAAAAAACAATACCTAGAAAACCTTAGTTTTTCAAAAGCTGTTTTCTATATGTGCCAATCTTTAAAAAACAGGATAACAAATGTATTTATCATATTAAAATGTTATAAAACAATAAAACTAAAAATCTAAAATTTTCTGAATGTTATTTCCATATTTTATTTCAATTATTTATGTTCATTGGGCTTAAGGTTCTAGAAATAATTTACAGTATCTATATTATAGCTGCCTAAATATAGTAACATCAAGAGCTTATAATCCTTTTTTTCTGAACATTTACTGTATAAAAACATTCTCCCTATACCCCTACAAATACTTATTTGTCCTTAAGGCCTAGCTTAAATATCTCCTACTTGAGGAAGCCTTCCCAGTGCTCAAGATTCAATAAACCAAGTTAGCACTTACCCAAGCCTCTGTTATCATACCCCGTCATAATGTAGCATAATGTGTTTGTACATCCATCACTATAGTATTTAGCACAGGAACCACAGTTCTTAATCACCCACTCTGATTCAAGGCCTTAGCAAGGCCTCTTGTATCCCCACCCCCACCCCCATTCCTACCCTGACCAGCCTTATCTCTGGCAGAATCCTCCTTAACCTTGACTTCAGCACAAATGCCACTTTTTCTGAGGCTATTCCTAACCATTTAATGAAAACTAGGTTTCCCTTTAGTCTTTTCCCATGCTTTCATTTACAGCATTTATCACAATGATGAATGCATTTTCATTTGTGCTTGCTTCTTAAATTTCAAGGTCTCCCATTAGATCATAAGCTCCAGGGGTACAGAAACATGTTTATTCCCTCCTGGTATCAACAGTACTTAGTACAGTGCCTGGTACAAAGCAGAAACACTGTACTTAGTTGAATGAATTAATGAATCCTATCTTCAGTACCCAGCTTTTAGTGAAGACTAAAGACTTATTAAATGAACTGTCAAACTGCTAATAGTGTCATTTTTAATGTTAAATATTTATGTGTGAAAAGGTGTTGAGAAAAAATGACTGTTTATTGGTAGCACATACATTCAGAATCAGGAACGATAGTGATGCTGAACAACCTGACTGCATGCATCGCTGAGATATCACTGTGACGTCTTTGCTCTTCGCTTTCTCATGGTTCTGTTTACACAAACTTTGTTTCATTCACAAAACTTGAAATACTGTATAAAATTATCTTTAGGTTATGTGTATAAGGTGTATGTGAAACATAAATGAATTTCATGTTAAGACTTAGGTCCCATCCTCAACATATCTCATGTATATGTAAATTGATATCTGAAAATATCTGAAATTCAAAAACACTTCTGGTCCAAAGAATTTTGGATTAGCGCTGGGCAATCAGTATAGTTAAGGAGCTAGAAACACATTCATGCAGGAAAGGAAGGAGAAAGGAAAGCTCTCTTAAAAATACACGACTTCCATGATGTTATCTCTCAAAGTGTAAACAACCTGCAAGTACTTCAACCAAAATCACTAGAAGTGCGGAGGGGGCACGTTCAGTAGTGCGACATTAATATATTTGCTATACTTAGTTGTATGATCCCACTTTGGCTCCTGACTGTATCCATTTCTACCTCTATTCTCTGTACTCTGTTCTTCACATGTTTTTCTTCTTTCTCTGCTTGTTGAAAGGCTCAGCTCAAATATCTGGTTATACTAACCAGGAGTGAATTTGTTCCTCTCAACTCCAAAATATATTTTGACAGGAATGAACAATTGTTACGGGAAGTACACAGGTATGAGAGATGTGAACTTTGGAGTTCGAGAGATTCAAGCTTTTCTACTTTTAGGTATGTGCCAAGGTCAGGCATGGCAGGTTTCTTTTTTGTCCTCTTGCATGGTAAAAAGAGTTCTCAGTTACGCTTCCAGCAAGGGTGTAGTCTACTGGGGTCCTAGCTTCATTCACAAGTCTCCTCTTACAGTTAGTGCCTGCCTAAGGTAGGGAGTTCTATCTTGTATCCCTCGCTCAACCATTAAGGGAGAAAGCTCCAAGTTTACAGTCCTTGGTTAACAACCGTGAGAGAAAAAAGGAGCTTTTGTGCTTCTCTCTTAGGATTCCTGCTTTTACTTCATTGCTGGCCTTTGTGGAATCCTTTTTATGCCTGCCTATCAAAAAATATTAATCTTAACCATCATTTTTTTTTTATCATTTTTGTAATTCCAATTTGGAGGATAACCATAGAAATTACCTTGTAGTACATACAAATCTAGAATTAATATAGTTGCATCATTACCAAAAGTTAGAAAATTTCTAAGTACAGAGAAGCAGCTTTTTAAAAAAATTTTATTGCATTTTAGGTTTTGGGGTACATGTGAAGAACATGCAAGATTGTTGCATAGGTACACACGTGGCAGTGTGATTTGCTGCCTTCCTCCCTATCACCTACATCTGGCATTTCTCCCCATGCTCTCTCTCCCCAACTCCCCACCCCCTGCTGTCCCTCCCCAATTTCCCCTCAACAGGCCCCAGTGTGCAGTGCTCCCCTCCCTGTGTCCATGTGTTCTCATTGTTCAACACCCGCCTATAAGTGAGAACATGTGGTGTTTGATTTTCTGCCCTTGTGTCAGTTTACTGAGAATGATGGTTTCCAGGTTCATCCATGTCCCTACAAAGGATACTAACTCATCATTTTTCATGGCCGCATAATATTCCATGGTGTGTATGTGCCACATTTTCCCTGTCCAGTCTGTCATTCATGGGCATTTGGGTTGGTTCCAGGTCTTTGCTATTGTAAACAGTGCTGCAATGAACATTCATGTGCACGTGTCCTTATAGTAGAATGATTTATAATCCTTTGGATGTATACCTAGTAATGGGATTGCTGTGTCAAATGGAATTTCTATTTCTAGGTCCTTGAGGAATTGCCACACTGTCTTCCACAATGGTTGAACTAATTTACACTCCCACCAACAGAGTTAAAAGTGTTCCTATTTCTCCACATCCTCTCCAGCATCTGTTGTCTCTGCATTTTTTAATGATCGCCATTCGAACTGGTGTGAGATGGTATCTCAATGTAGTTTTGATTTGCATTTCTCTGATGACCAGTGATGATGAGCATTTTTTTCATATGTTTGTTGCCCTCATGTATGTCTTCTTTTGTAAAGTGTCTGTTCATATCCTTTGCCCACTTTTGAATGGGCTTGTGTTTTTCTTGTGAATCTGTTTTAGTCCTTTGTAAATTCTGGATATCAGCCCTTTGTCATATGGGTAAACTGCAAAAATTTTTTCCCATTCTGTTGGTTGCTGATTCACTCTAATGACTGTTTCTTTTGCTGTGCAGAGGCTGTGGAGTTTGATTAGGTCCCATTTGTCTATTTTGGCTTTTGTTGCCAATGCTTTCTGTGTTTTGGTCATGATATTATTTTAGAGGGATAAGAAGCAAGAACAGAAATGTTAAATCTAACTCTATCCAAGGAATTTCCTCAACTGCCTTTCCCAAAACTTCCTGACTTAGAAGAGAGATACCAAAGATGTGTGGAGAATATTGCACCTAACTGAATTCTACCCATTTCTGAACCAAAAATGGGGAAATAAAAGTTTTGAGAGTTAAAACTGTCCAACACTTGGTTTCACTGGTGGATTTAATTCTTTTGAGATTTACTTTTAAAGTTAAAAAAAATTTTTTTTTTGAGACAGAGTTTGGCTCTGTTGCTCAGGATGGAGTGCAGTGGTGTGATCTCAGTTCACTGCAACTTCTGTCTTCCAGGTTCAAGAGATTCTCCTGCCTCAGCCCCCCGAGTAGCTGGGATTACAGCTGTTGCCACCATGCCTGCTACCACATCTGCCTAACTTTTGTATTTTTGGTAAAGACAGGGTTTCATGGTATTGGCCAGGCTGGTCTCAAACTTCTGACCTCAAGTGATCTGCCTGCCTTGGCCTCAAATAGTGTTGGGATTACAGGCATGAGCCACCACACCTAGCCTTGAGATGTAAATACATCAGTATATATAATTAGCAAATAAATACCACAATCAAAAAAGTATACACAACTTTGGCCAGGTGCATTGGCTCACACCTGTAATCCCAACACTATGGGAGGCCAAGGTGGGTGGATCACCTGAAGTCAGGAGTTCGAGATCAGCCTGGCCAACATGGTAAAACCTCCTATCTACTAAAAATACAAAAACTAGCTCGGTGTGGTGGCGGGCGCCTGTAATCCCAGCTACTTGGGAGGCTGGGGCACAAGAAGCGCTTGAATCTGGGAGGTGGAGGTTGCAGTGAGCCAAGATCATGCCACTGCACTCCAGCATTGGCAATAGAGTGAGACTCCATCTCAAAAAAAAAAAAGTATACACAACTCAAAGTATTTAAATCTGAACCGGTTTCTAGATACATTAGAAAACCACCTACAATGCAACCAACAGCCACTACTACCAGCAGGAATGTCTGAAAGGAAGCACAGCTGGTTCCTGCGACCTACCCAACCATGTCATTAACTGTATTACTTGCTCCTGAGATGGGAAGAATCATATAAGGTAACAGGATACAAAGTTTAGCTGATCGCACAAATGATGAAACAAAATCCCTCAGTAGACAAATACTGCTTTGGTTGATAGTTTATTAAATACACTACATTTGTATCTTTTTCTGTAGGTTTTTAAATTGTTCACACATGAACTGAGTAAAAACGTACTTTATAGAAAACCAAGTGCAAAACTAAAATGAAAGAATGCACATACTGCACACATATTTAACCGCTGAAATGTTAGAAATTAATCTGTACAAGTACCTAATGAAGGGGATTATGAAATGTTAGGTGGTTGCGTTTCTTAAATCTGGCACCAAGCCATGACTCTGAAAGTGTTAATGTTGAAGTGTAGATGCAAAATGTCTATTAACAAAACTGTTTAATCTAACAGTTTTGAGAACCAGGACAAAATACTGTTTTTCTTTCACAGACACTTTTCTAAATCAACTATCTACAGACTCTCTCCCATTCAGAATCAGTTGTGTGGACTAAGGAGGCAAAAAATAAATTCCTTTTAGAAAACCACACTGGAGCCTATTTACAAAACATGCAAAGGGACAATTTTAAGCAGGTGTTACTGCAAAACTGCTCAAAAGTGAATACAGCAGAGTGACAGAATATACCTGTACTTCTACAAATATAGGGCCTTCCTCCAG